GAAAAAAACAAAAAAAACATATTTTTATTTGTCTCTAACGAAATTTTCCTGTTTCTTATTACTTTGTTTAGCTTTTGGAAGACATCTTTCTTTAAAACAATATTAATTCAGATTTCAGTCTCACATTTTTTTTTATACACAAAGAAAATAAACCTCGAATGCTATGTAATATCAATCCTCCTGTATAGTAAAGAATTCTGAACAATCCCCTCATAGATTAAGAGAAAACTGGTGACAACGGAAAAAAATGTTTTTAGAAAGGTGCTGAGTATACCATGGACCGAATGGCAGAAAGTCTTGAAAAAATGAAAACAAGAAGAACAATTTAACTCAGAATTATAAAGAAACAGAAGAGATTACTTGTACACATAATGAGGAAGTAAGGCTTGGAGAATTTGATACTCACATGATATATCGAAGCCAAACAGGAACAATCTAACTATTTCTACGAATGTATAGCGCGATACAATATTGGATTCACAAAACAAAGTTGTCAAACTTACAAGATCACCTTTAAAAAATAACAATACAAATATTCTAACTGGTATAATGGAATATGCATACAGCTGTGTTCCCCCTCACTGGAATATGATTGGCTGGTGTCCGTCATAAATACCGACGGACGTGTAGGAGAGTCAAGAGCCTTAGTCTGAGAGTTAAGTCTATAACGACGCCCATTGAAATACGCCATTGATCTACACTTCTTAACTGCGACTACGACGCGTACCAATCGATTACTGCTACCGTATTCTACTTGGTTATAGTAGCCAAAACCACTTAGCTACTTCGTCCAAATATATCTATTTCCGGGACATATCACTTATCAATCTGAGAGAATAGTGTCTTGGAATTGAGGAATAGTGTGACTCTGACGGGAGCCGTATCTATGTTTGAATGACGTTTTACTTGAAAGCTTTTACTATCCTTACGTAGAATATTCTCTTTCAGGTGAAAGAGTCAGTTGTTTGCAGTCTTCTGTGACAATCGTTATTATTATTGCTAAGATTTACATAACTTGCATATTCCTTCAACGCTACCAGGATAATGGCGATTAAGCTTATTCATACACAACTTTTGGGATGGCAGAAATGTCGCATTAAAGAAAGGTTGGATCTACAAGAATCTTGCAAAAAGTTTATTTGATTACAGGCCTACGATGAACTTCAAACACGTGATGAACATGTAGAGGACTAAACGTGCCGAAAGCGAAGAAATAAATAATCTTCAGACACAGCTCAACAAATTTTAAATAAATTTTCATTATTGAATATTTGTTTTCTTTCAAGTTGAAAAAAAAAAGAATAACAAATGAACGCGCGGAACGAATTCTCAAAAAATTATTGTTTTTTAATTTTTACAACACCACATAATCAATTGCGTTAGTAAAACAGAGAAAACTGAATGTATCTACTTAAGAGTGTCACGTATTTACGTTGTTTTATGAATGCGTATTAGTAGTTATGACACAGTTGTGGTTCTCTGACTGCTGGTTGCTACTGCTGTAAAATTACTGAACTGAATAGTGACTTTGTAAATTTACGTGATCGTATTTATAAGATAATATAGGTTTTGAGTAACTGAAAGTTAAATTTACTATACTCAGAAGCTAATTGTTTAATAAATCATTTTTCCAATTTATAAATATCTGTTTATAGGATGGAAAATATTGTTGGTCCTTTTCTAGAGTGAGCTCTCAAATTCCGTAGCAGACAACAAATATAGTCGTTTGAAATGTCAAAGCCTTAAACATGCTTTAAACAACGTCCCTGATTGGTTAATTAAATGTGAATATTCAAACTGGGGCCTAGATTAAAATAAGTTAATTGAGGTTTTTAGTGATAATATTTAAAGCTATTGGAATTTCCTACAATTTTAACAGGGTCCTACAAACATGTTTGTCAAAAGTTGTCCCGCCTGCTGACCAGGGTTTTTCTTTTCTGTTCTTAATCATTTAACCCAAATGAAAACGATAAATCCACTGAAACACATGGGGTTACGGCGTGTGAAATAATAATAATAATAATAATAATAATAATAATAATAATAATAAAAACATTATTACGGAAAATAAAAGAAGGGGACTCAAAAAAAGAGTAGTTAACGATTGATATTATGTTTACATTTTTGAAATTCTAATTTGGCAAGGAAGCAAGAAGTCGGAAGAGACTTCCGTAAGAAAGAAGTGCGAGAAAAGAAACGGTTAGGATTGAACTTAACGACATATCTCGCCAATTCAACGATAAAATGATAAGATCTTTTTGCCAATCTGTTACAGTGTTTAAACTCATCGAGTATAGGCTCCATAGAGGAAGGTTCATCAGAACAATTGCCATGGAAGTATTTATAGAAAAGACACCGGGAAGTTATATTACGACGAGGGGAAAGTGACCCAAGCCGGGATCTTGAATTAATAATAGATTTTCAATTTTAGCTGGTTAAATGAAATTTAGAGATTCCTTGAAAATTCTGTATCTGTTTTGAATGCGTTCAAGAGTTTAATTGGAAATGCACGAAAACAGGCAATATGGATTCTCATGATCTTTCGCTTGAGAAACGAACACAAGTTCGCATTATCTGCATTAATATTTTAATCAGCTGTCTTTTCTTTTTCTATTGTCTTGTTACAGGTGATGAAAAATGTGTTTTTTTTTTTTTTTGACAATTGAAAAAAAAATGCAGAAAGGTTGAAACCAGTGCCAACACCAAAACCAAGATTTCATCAATAGAAATTCATGCATTGTTTTTGAAAGTTTTCACCCATTAGGCACCATAGAACAAAAATGGGCAATAATTGCAGATGTTTATCGATTGATTCGTGTTTTTTTTTTGTTTTTTTACGGTGCATCAACCATTTGTGGGTTATTCAAAAACGAATCTTATGTACTTTTATTGTAAGAATAATTCTTTCTTTATTTACATTATTCAGATTATTCTCCTCATCTTTGTCGACATATTTATCACAACGTTTCCTGTAACTGGATCTAACCAACGCCTTTATCCACTGTGACATGTGTCCTTGAGAACACATGGCACAGTAGATAAAAGACCCAAAGAGTATGAGTTCAATACCCGGTTAAGGCAGTGGAGAACATTCAGAGGGAAATAAACAGGAGATAACTAATAACTGACATCCATCAATCATGTCACGTGGAACTAGAACAGTCTACCCCAGTGAGAGAAATAAAGGATTCAGTTCGACATTCCAACCACCTGAAGAAGGCCCGAGCGTACAACGGCCGAAACGTTGTGATAAATATGGCGACAAAGATGAGGACAATAGTCCGAATAATGTAAATAATTTACATAATACCTCATCTCAGTAATATAGACAGACTAATTCTTTCTTTGCCAGGTGATATTTCATTAAGAATTTCGTTTTCCCGATGAGTGGCGTCGTTGAAAATGAAGGTGTTTACATTTTTAATAAAAAAAAATTGCAACTAATTTTAACTTAGATTTGTTTTTATACGCTTTCTAGTAAAACGTAACTAGATTCCAGTCAACCTAATTCATGTTGAGTTACTAATCGGAACTTAGATATAACGAAACATGGTGATTTTTAAAGCGTCACTTCGATGTGACACAAAGCCGAAAGTGTGGGGCACCCAGTTTGGATCGGACTGACTATTCAGTCGGAATTGATATGTCGAAATGTCACAAATAATGCGATTTACTAAGTGTAGCATATATGTCATACAAAGCCGAAAGTAACACCCAATGAGGATTGAACTCACTGTTCAGTCGTAATTGATTTAGCGAGACTAGATTTGCAAACCATTAAACCACGTCGAAGGGCACAACATGACTATCTAAGCGTAGCTTAGATGTGGCACAAGGCCAAATTTATGAAGCACCCATCGAACTCACTACTCAGTCGTAATTGATGTAGCGAGACTAACTTGGTAACCATTACAGCACAACCTGATTTTATAAGCGTAGCATAGATGTGACACAAGGCCGAAAATATGGGGCATCCAACGAGGATCGAACTCACTACTCAGTAGTAATTGATCTAGCGAGACTAACTTGCTAAGCATTACACCACGTTGAAGTGAACAACCAGATTTTATTAGCGTAGCTTAGATGTGGCACAAGGACGAAAGTTTGGGGCACCCATCGAGGATCGAAAGCACTAGTCTAGCTTGCTAGCCACTACACCACGTCGAAGTGCACAACATGAATGTCTAAGTGCGGCATGTATGTGGCTTGCGGCCGAATATATAGGGCAACCAACTGGGTCGAACTCACAATTGTCGTAATTGACCAAACGATACACCTCGCCAAAGTGCTCCAAAACGGTTTAATATGTGACTCATTAATTTTGTTCCTCTCAACACATGAAATTTAGTCAGAATTTCCGTTGGGAGATTGTCACACTTTGGTGATTTTTGGATGAAAGAATCAGTATAAATATGACGTATTTGTGGATGTAATAACGAAGTTTTTCTTTTTTTCCCCACAGGAAATGCATCTGACTAAGTTACTCACATGATTCAACCATCATCATTCGCTTCCTACGATTTTTACGACTCATAATTTTGCATATTTTAACGAAATAAATACAACATCGCTTAATTAATATCAATTTTACTACGGATCCATAGACATAAATAATCAAATGACATCGTATATATGTCCAGACTATTTTACATCTTTTTTGTTCCGAGATAATTTGAATTTCAAATTGAAAATTTTGCTTTCTATTTTCTTTGCATAAAAAAGGTTAACTTTCTCGACACTTGAAAACTTATGCAAAATTATTATGACCTAGTTAATACGTATTTATATATTTGAGTAAAAATCAAATATTTCTCTATATTTGATTTGTTTTTTGATTTTTTAAAGAAAATTCTCTTACGTGAATTTTTTTTAGCAAATATATCTTCAGCAATGTTTTTTTTTTTCAACCGCTCGTTCTCTCTGTTTGCAGAGAGGGAAATGATTCGCAAAGAAGAAATAAAAATGCATTTCCTGTTCAGAATCGATTCTTGATACTTTAGATTTACGAAAGCAGAGCGGACATGCGTCGACGGAAGTGCGTACAGTTTACGAAAGCTGAGTACTTGTTGGCGGAACAGATGCGATTTCCTTTCTCGTCTAATCGAGTTTGTTACACGACGAGTTTTCCTCAGACGTTCGGTAGCTTCCTTGTTTCACTGCAACAGGAGTCGACCCAACATCGATTACGCTTTTTTTTTCTTTTTTTTCCCCCTTTTTACGTCATTACGTAGCCACTGGTTTGTCTGGCACAAGCAGAAACGTATTTGTCTATCTGAACCTAAACTAGTTGTAGACGATCCAACAAAGACAAAACGCAATGCATAATGAAATAATTTCTGTAACCCGATTGCTATTAAAAGGGTACTCGCGTTATTTTTTAATATTATTTTTTGTTTGGGCATAAATTTCAGTTGATTTTACACCTTTTGTAGTTGTCGTCAGTCAGTCAATTAAGTGCTGTACGTGATACATGCTTGGGGTATCCTTCGCTTCCTAACTGACGAGGTAGATTTTCTCGCTGTAGGTTGACGTTTCTTTCTGCGGTAGACTGATTGTCAACCAAAACTACAACATCCAGTCCGTCCTACTATTTAACCCATATTTGGGAGGATAAAAGCCTAATCCATGATATTTGCGCAAAAGTGAATGTAACGGATTCGACGGTCATTCGAACCCGGATCTTGATTTTCTCATTTCGAGCCGATATCCATCACGTCAATTCTCTACATATGTTCCTCAAAGTAGACAGTCATGAAAAAAAATGATTAAGTTATTCTAAAGCAAATTGTGAATATAGTAAATAATAATTTTGCTTGACGATTTCTGAAGTCAGGATATTTTTGCTGACGTGGGTATCTTTTGTAACTTTAGAAATTTACACCCACCCTGCGAATGCACGTAGTTTATGACTTGATTAGACAAATATTTCAAAGTACATTCAGCATAAACTCTTTGCATTGTAAATGACGCTATTTTCTTAACTCATTTCGTTGTATTTATTTTTCTTATTCATTGATTCTTGTAACGAAACAGTTTTATGAGCGAGGACGTATTTAAAATCTGTAGAAAAAGCGTTTAGAGTAGTAAAGTTATTTTGTTTCGTTTAATCTTACTTATTATAAAACGCAGATTGTGTGTGTGTGTGTGTTCGTTTATATATTGGATCGGATTTCCTACATTTTTCAGCCGATTTCAACAAAACTTCACAAGACTACGTAAAATTACCTTGTGGTGGTTCTGACAGCGCCAAAAATTGGAAAAAACACAAATGTTTTTGCACGAAATCAATTTAAAAACACGATGAAGAGGCATCGCTGTCGAGAATGAAAGGGGGACAACTCATATCATTATACTTGTTATAAAACCCAGGTTGTTTGTGTGTGTTCGTTTATATATTGGATCGAATTTCCTACATTTTTCAACCGATTTCAACAAAACTTCACAAGACTACATAAAATTACCTTACGGTGGTTCTGACAGGGCCAAAAATTGGAAAATTACAATTGTTTTTGCACGAAATCAATTTGAAAACTCGATAAAACACGATTCTGTCGCCAGAATGAAAGGGGGACAACTCATATCGAGTTATAATTATCATAAAACCCAGTTTATTTTTTTTTTTTTTGTGTGTGTGTGTGTGTGTGTGTGTGTGTGTGTTATGTGTGTGTGTGTGTGTGTTTTTTACATTTTTCATTTCTGATTTTCAACAAAACTTCACTTTTATTTTGGCAGGTAGTGTTTCTTATTGTCTTGCACACTTTTTACTTTATTTTTACACTCAGAATACTTTAAAAATTCCAAGTACAAGACAATTGTTTATAATAAAATTCTATTTAATCGATAGACTCATAACGATTGAAAACAATGTTTTTGTTTGAGTTTGACCAATTCGTAAAAAAAACAAAAAAAACTACTTAAGACATGCGTGTCCGTCAACCTTAAATAATAATCTTTGTCAATTTTATTTTTCAGTCTTTATGATGGTCGACACTTGAGACAGTTGGTTCCTCTATGATTTAACTTTCAAATATTTAGAAAGAAACACAGTAAATATGTACTTATTTATTTCATGATAAGTTTATACTTTCATTTTCTATTTATTGATTGGTTTGTAAATAATAATAATAATAATAATAATAATAATAATAATAATAATAATAATAAGTTGTACCTTTGATGAGGAACTATTTACTCCGACATCCAGTGTAAAATAGATGTGTGCCTATGCGTGTATGTTTCTATATGCGTAGATCAGAAGGTCGCTCCTGGGATCAATACTATCTGATGTTCTAACCTGCTCCAAGAGGAGGACTCGGAGTATGCGCGATCAACCCCCAAACCTCGACGGTAGGACAGGAGGATGATGATCACAAAAGCTTAACCAGCGGATGAAGAGAGTTACGCATGACGGATATGCTACAGAAGGCGCCGCTTGCAATTATAATGCTGTATGATGTTCTAACCTGCTCGATTTACTGACTATTAGTTCAGTATCGACGATTTATTTCCATATGATTTACATTCAAACATTTTTACTAACATTTGCCCCAAATTTTATTTTTATATCCTTTTCTCGTTTATTGTTTGTTAACGTAATATTTCATGGATGGGGTTGTATGTTCAAATTTGTAAAAAAAAGCGTTTTGAGTCGTAACGCTATTTTGTTCTTTTTAATTTTATTACTATTGTTTCAGATCTGAATAGTCAACTACTTTCTCTGTTATTTAACTTTCAGATATTTTTAACAATACTAATAAAAAATCTCTATCTATAAAAGGCAGGATGTGTGTGTGTGTGTGTGTGTGTGTGTGTGTGTGTGACGATTGCACGGCCGCAATTTTCGACGGATTTGCACCAAGATTTACATGCACATGCTCCAAGTTAGCAGGAAGGCCAAGACCGACTTTGCATTTCCCAACTCCCATCGATAGTGGAAATAATCGATTTTTCATGCTTCTACGACAGTTTTCATGTAGTTTGCGGCCATTTTCTACTGGCCAGAGTGAGAGCCTATTGCTGGCTGCCAGGAATAGGCAGGAAGATTCTATTGGCCTGCGTGAGAGCCAACAGCTGACTGACTAGAATGTTAACTAGCATGCTAGCATGCAAAAAAAATCGATAGTTGCATTCGTCACAAGTGGGAAAAATTGAAATCTGCATGGCACTTTACCGCAATTGGCTCATTCGCTTGCTTAAATTCAACGTTGATTCTGATTCTGCAGAACTGGGTTGGGAGTGAAAAAGTATTTGTTGTTAACATTCTTTTTTCATTCGGTTTTTCTAGTTACGAGTCCTTTTTTTTAAACCTGATTGTGTTCATTTTGCTTAGTTCTTTTTCCGTAACAGATTTAATGTTTAGTATAGAGCTTAGAAAAAATTCGCAGTGTGATGTAGCAACATCAGCACGGCAAAGGGCACTCTTTTAAAGGCGATTTTTGAATCAAGCACGGGCAACGCCGGGCCGAGCTGCTAGTCTTGTCATATAAACATTTATTTTTTATTTATTGTTTGGTTTCTTAAATAATAATAATAATAATAATAATAATAATAATGAGTGGTACATTTGTAACGAATTTTTAGTCCGAAACCCAATTGAAAGCATCATACACGATTGAATTATGGCTGGAAGCCCTCGAAAAAGATTTTGTAGGTGCAGAATATTTTTCATAATCATACATACTTTAAATTTTGTGATGGCTTTTAATCACGTCACTATTTATCATTCTGTTATATTCGTTATATTTTTAATTGTTTTAGCAAGTTTAATTTATAAACTATGACTATTAGCATTAAGAATTATTATATTAAGGACAATTAGTACACTTTATTTTCTAAATTACTTATACAAATGGCATGAATAATTCTAGTCTATAATATTGAAAAGTAACATTCCTCTTTTTTATATAGAGGAGGAGGTAATTTTAAAAATTGTTGGAAAACATTACTTTTCTTAATGTTTCTTAATGTTTCATTTGTTTATCTTTGAAAATTGGATAATTATCGAGGATTTATTTCCATATGACTTACATTCAAAAACTTCAATAACATTTGCCGAAAATTTTATTTTTTATTGTTTGGAGTAACGTGACATGTTTTATGGGTGGGGTTGTATGTTCAAATTTATAAGAAAAGCATTTCGAGTCGTAACGCTATTTTGTTTTATTTACTTTTATTACTATTGTTTCCGATCAGAATAGTCAAATGCTTCCTCTTATTGAAATTTCAAATGATTTTACAACAACAGCAATAAAAAATATACTTATATATTTGAGGATAATTTTATATTTTTATTTTTTATTTATTGTTTGGCTTCTAAAGTTATAATAATAAGTGGTACATTTGATGACGAACTGATTACCCCAACATCCAGTGTAAGATAAATGTGGTTCTATGCGTGTATGTTTCTATGCCTGTACCTCTGATGGTCGCTCATGAGATCAATGCTGTTTAACTTGCTCAAAGACAAGGACCCGAACTGAGCGCGATCAACGCCCAAACCTCAACGGTGGGACAGGCGGATGATGATCACAAGAGCTTAACGGATGAAGAGAGCTACGCATGACAGATACGCTACAGAAGGCGCCACACGCAATTATAACGCAGTCTGACGTTCTAACCTCCACAAATTATTCACTATTGGTTCAGTATCGACGATTTATTTCCATATTATTTACATTCAAAAAAGAAGGCGCCGCTCGTAATTATAACAGAATCAACGGCAGTCCGTTGCAGTTTCATAACTAGATTCTGGATGTCTCATTCCATATGTGCCAAAGAGGAAGATCATGAAGTCAAGTCTGTGAGTCACTTATTGGCAAGTTAAGGTCTACCTTAAGCAATGTCACACCATAGGTATTTTTTCTAATTTGATCTTATTTCACCTCCAAATAACTCTTTCAAAATCAAACAGCAATAGGAAATGGATGACGGAATCATGTTTCGGTGATAATGAGATCTTCTAGTTCTGAACTTGGATGCTGGTGGCGTATTTTTTCATCAATCGCCTCATCATAAAGGAAGCAGTAAATATCAAAGGCAAATTCATTCAAGACAGGCAACCATATTGATAGCGCATTTAGTAAAGCAATGGTCCCTATAGACATGAAGTTAAGATCAAATTTATATCTAAGTCAGATGCGAGACAAAGCATGTGAAGCATCGATTTTTGAAAGTGCAATTAAAGCAAGATATCCGGGAAATGACGAATGAATTACTGGAATGTTGAAACCATTTAGTGAGAACAAATCGTCTGCATGCAGAGACTAAATGAATCGCGCAAGTACACAAGAATATAAATGCTTGTGAGACAAGAAGGCGTCTTCTTG